TTGATCATTAACCCCCACGCTATTCCGTCTCGTATGACCATTGCCCATTTGATCGAATGCCAATTGAGTAAGGTCGGAACTCTTCGAGGTTTGGAAGGTGATGCAACTCCATTCACTGAGGTTACAGTCGACTCTGTGTCCAAGCTTCTCCGCGACAATGGCTACCAGTCTCGTGGCTTCGAGATCATGTACCACGGTCATACTGGGAGAAAGCTTATGGCTCAGGTGTTCTTGGGTCCCACATATTATCAACGTCTTCGCCATATGGTCGATGACAAGATCCACGCTCGTGCAAGAGGTCCAGTCCAGATATTGACCCGTCAACCAGTGGAAGGTCGTGCCAGAGATGGTGGTCTGCGTTTCGGAGAAATGGAGCGTGATTGTATGATCTCACACGGAGCTGCTGCTTTCTTGAAGGAGAGGTTGTTCGAGGTTTCGGATGCGTTCAGAGTCCATGTATGTGACATCTGTGGACTGATGACACCGATTGCGTAAGTTTGATTCTTTGCCTTCATTAACCGAGTACTAACCTTGAACCAGCAAACTCTCTACTCAATCTTTTGAGTGCCGACCTTGCAAAAACAAGACCAAGATTTCGCAGATTCACATTCCATATGCCGCAAAGTTACTCTTCCAAGAGTTGGCATCGATGAATATTGCGTCTAGAATGTTCACCCAAAGGTCTGGCATTTCAGTTCGCTGAATAATGATTGGAAGAGACCAGAATTTATAGGAAAACGAGATCATGCGGGGGTGATAGTCTTGCATAACACGGCGTTTGGGATGGAGCAAGAAACAAGACTGGCTGCCACAACAGGAGTGGAGTTGGTTGCGTTCGTTTGCGGTGGAGAAAAGGGTCATGCAAAATTTGGGATTTGGAACGCTGAGATGTCCATTCCCCCTAATGTACCATATCTAGAGTTAGTGGGAGACCTTAAAAGACGAAACTGATGACAGATGAATTTAAGAATTCTATCTGCATCCTGCTTCGTGGCTATGATACAAGCTGAGATTTTCCGTTTGACTTCGTCTTGAATTGACCTAATATCGCCCCATGCACCATGCAATGCCTTGTAGTTGTACACTGGTCTATGTTACAATGTTGAGAAGAGATTCGTGACTCTATCGTAGAATCCAAGGTCACCGCGGCTTATCCAACACTCCGCCGCCATCAGATACAGTCTGAACTTTCTTATATTCCGCCTCTAGCGCCCTCTGCATATCGAAATCGAGCTGCCGTTCTTTCTTTAATCGTTGCTGGTCCATATCTCGAATTACGCCTGCGTGCATTACCTGTACATTGCATTAGCACAAGCCCATCCACAGCTTCCAGAACTTGTGCAAGGAATGAGGGAAGGTGTAGGGAGGGAGGAACGTACCGCTTTCTCTTGCTGTTGCCCATAATGCACTATCACGATTGTTGCAGCCGCCATGAACGTCGTGCCCGCCAGAGTGAGTTTCGCTGCTCTCGACATTTTTCCTAGTCCTCTCTTCTCTTTCAAACAATCCAACTCGCAAAAGTTGTAAAAATGGCAAAGTGATTCAATTGCAAGTTCCAAGGCGATTCAAAAAGTCGTCCCGAAGTGGTCACGAGCGGAAGTTGCCGTGCAGGGGTCTGGAGCTTCCGCCTGGTTGCTTTTGGTGGATAGAGCTGCGGAACTACCACTGTTGCACGTCCGACGATAACGAGCTTTACGAACACATTTGAAGCTGAGAATTCTTTACGGAGGATTGCAAGATGGTTTGTCTCCTCCCCCAGGTATTTGAGAAGTAGAAGCTAATGTCGGGGTTACAGTCGGCCCAAAACTCAGCGGGTATCCAGACCCTTCTCGATGTACGTATTACGGATAGGGCTTAGGGATGGGAGGACGGTGCTGATATGATGTAGGCGGAGAGGGAAGCACAGAAGATTGTTCAGAGAGGTAGGTTCTGCCGCTGTCATCTGGACGCCAATTGGGAATGTGTAGCTAATGTTTGTGTAGCCAGAGAATGTGAGCAAGCTCTACCAGACACCAGATGCTATTTGAGGACCTGAAGGCTGATTATGGCAGACCGCACAAAGAGAGTAAAGGAAGCTAGAGACGAGGCGAAGAAGGAAATCGACGAGTACAAGAAGAACAAGGATGATGAGTTCAAGAAGTTTGAGTCTGAGGTATGCTTGGCATTCTTCTCTTCATCCTACTTCTTCGAATGGATATCGTTTCTACGAGTTCCTGGGAAGGTGCTGATTGTTGGGTTTATAGCACACCAGCGGAAACAAGAAGGCCGAAGAAGACGCAAATAAGGAAGCAGAAGTCAAGATAAGGGAGATCAAGGAGGCTGGCAAGAAGGGCCAAGATAAGGTCGTTGCGGAGCTATTGAAAGCTGTCTTCGACATCAATCCTGTGGTCCCAGAGCGTATCGAAGTTCCGAAATAGGCGGGGGTTGAGCCCTGTTGAACTATTGAGAGATTGTATGACCTAGAAAGGCGCCGGATTCACGATATCAACATTGGCCTTTGGACCGCTTTGATGCTTGGACGAGCTTGGGCATGAGAGTGAGCTGTATAGATTATTGGTAGCTGGCAATTGCACGATGATATCCATTCGAGAGCGTTGAGCGAGGGCATTGTCTTGGCATACCAAACTTTGTTTCTCCATACTATGAGCTCTACGGCATCCTGACTCAAGTCTTCCAAACTTTCAGTTTTTCATGTTTATATTATTCCTTCCTTGCCTGGATTTTCTGAAGCAAAAAGATCCATCTCTTGATCCCTCTACTGTATATTGCAACCTGAAGTCACATGCTTGCAAGGATGTACACTCTACTAGTACGTCACTGTAGCTTTTCGCGAAGAGCTTCAACATCGTTCCATCGCGACTTCTTCACAATGGCATTCCACACCCAAACCCAATGTATAGAGTTCAGCGATGACATATCTGGTAGCTCGTGTAGCACGCACGAGATGGATCCTCAACAATGTGCCACGAATAGTGCCACAAGAAAATCGCGGCACTTCTTGCCTATGCCTTCCGATGTCCTGCTGCAATTGCTTTAGTTGTTGTCACCGAGCCGGGAAAGACAATAGGGTTAGAGGACGACTAGAGGGAGGAGAGAATGGAAGAGGGCATCTCGATGGGAGGAAGATTGACGGAGACCTAAGGATAAATGACCTGGGGAGAGCGATTGAGGATGATTATGCGGCTATTCGACAGAACTATGGTGCCTTCTCTGCTCTGCTGGAATGAGAACAGTGCTGATGTTTGTAGCTACACCTAAGAACCCAATTGTGCTTGCACACGGTCTCCTCGGCTTCGACGAACGTGGGTATTCTCCAAGTTAATTCTTCTCCATTTAGATTGTTTCGTGATGCGTGAGACACAGTTCACTTCCCGAAACATACTTCCTCCTCTTCAATCAACCCTATTCCTCACGAAACTTGTCTGAAAGAAGTAATACTAACTCCGAAATTTCCCGCAGTGCGTCTAGCAGGCAACCTCCTTCCTGGAGTCCAATACTGGCGCGGAATCACAGAAGCCATGCGCGCAAACGGCATCGAAGTCATACTCACCACCGTCCCAGCATCAGCTAGCATCGAAGAGCGAGCCGCGAAACTCAGCCAAGACATAGCTACCAAAGCCAATGGGAAGAGCGTCAATATCATAGCACACAGCATGGGAGGTCTAGATGCTCGGTATATGATCTCTCGACTCAAACCTGACAATATCAACGTCTTATCCCTCACGACTATCGCGACTCCGCATCGTGGATCCTACTTCGCCGACTACACGATGAATGAGATTGGACCAAAGTACCTTGGTCACCTTTATAAGTTTGTGGAAGGCATGGGATTCAGTACTGGGGCATTTTACCAATTGACGCAGAAGTATATGCAGGAGGAGTTCAATCCCAATACTCCAGATAAGGAGGGCGTGAGGTACTTCTCTTACGGAGCTACTGCAGACCCTGGGTTCATGAGTGCATTCCGGAGACCGCATAAAATCGTAGAGCAGATGGAAGGGCCGAATGATGGGCTGGTCTCGGTCGAGAGTGCAAAATGGGGGACTTACAAGGGAACGTTAGTTGGAGTCAGCCATTTGGATTTGATCAATTGGACGAACAGGTTGAGATCATGGTTCTGGCAGGTTGGTGGGTATCAGAAGAAGTGAGTAAGAGAGCTTTTGAGTTGCGGTGGTGTGCTGACTTGCTGCTAGGTTCAACGCTGTTGCGTTCTACTTGGATATCGCGGACATGCTCGCGAAGGAGGACTTGTAATTGTCTCTAGAGCCTTCGAAGTACTCCTAGAATCCTCTGAATTGTAACAATACCCCTGTACTTGCTTGTAGTCTTTGCTCAAAAGTCCTGGTTGCTCTAGGACAATTGTAGCTGTGCTTGTTGTCCTCTTGCTAAGTCTCATCTTTGTTTTGCTCTGCCCTTTCTCAAAGCAAGACGTCAATGTCTGTAATCCACTTCCAGCCAACAGCTGGGCCAAAAGTTGTAACCAATGAAAGGTCATTGAGCTTCTGCCTTCCGGCTATGGCCAGCAAAGGCTGCTTCAAGCCATCTACGCTCATCAAGCGTCACTCGCCTGTTCTCGCCTCTCTCGGGCGCTACGGCTCATATACGCACACAGAAGTCTCTGTAGCTACCAGTGTCAAAACTCCAAAACTTCAGAAGCATACAAGAGAACTGAAGAAACAGCAAAATAGAAGAATGGGACTGCTCAGGACTCGAACCCGACCCTCCCTACCGAACCCGAAAGAGCGGCCAAACCCGCTGGCGTACTTCCCAGTACCAGCGGCCCTGTGACAGTTGGTCTCTTTACCAGATAATACCCTTGTCATCAAAAAGGATATTAACCTTCTCAATGATTATATAAACCCATGCCACCTCTTTGATTTTTCGCCAGTACTAGCGTTATTCCTACTTTTACTTCCTTATCACTTAAAAACTTGTACTAGTGTCAAAAGTAGGTATGCAAAGTAAGGGAAAGAAGATAAAAGGAAGCAAAAAAAGATATTTGGACTGCCCGGGACTCGAACCCGGAATCTTCCTACCAAAATCTGGAGCCCAAGCTCCAGCGTGACACCCCAAGGTGCCACGGTTAGGATGTGATACCACATCACCAGCAGTCCAATTTGATTGATTAATACTGGAGATCGGCTTATTTAAATATATACGGACCTGTTTGGGACCAGGCGAGATGTCGGGGACGCTAGAGCATGCGATTGGATTGGGGACGAGGCAAAGGAGGGGAATGGCATGATGGGGACGAGGCTGGTGTTCACGCGGAAGGATAAGGCGCAGGCTGGATCTGGTTTATGAATGGCTGGTCACAAAGACCAGAAAGTGCTGGGACTTCATTTTCTACCCACGGCCTTTGCAAGATGGAAGATGAAAAATGCAAAAGCGGCTACTCCTCCATCCTCTTATTGGCTGTCATTGCAAAGGAAGAATTTTCTTTAATTTCAGCTTTCAAAGCTGTCGCAATGGCTGAGACAATGGCATCACATCTGCAAGAAGTCTTGCAAAAATGCAAGATGCAATATGCAGGAGTGGTTATCATAGTGGCAGCACCACTGTCTGTTCTTTTGAGAATAATTCATAATGCTTCCACTTTTCAAAGTTGTAGTCTGTGCTAGTAGATGGGTGCAAAGCCTCCAAAAGCATGTGCCTATCTTCTACCTTTGGACTTGCGCTTCAACCCAGTTCCCCTTTTCTAGAAATTCAGCTCCTGATGTTTGATATCTCGCTTTACTCAAATCTCCTGGTTTCCAAACAAGCAAGCCTCCGCCCAAACATTTTGGATCAAAACAAGGGTGACTCCTGCTCCCCCTCATGCTCATAAACCTTCGTCCACCTCCTCCCATCCTGATCCAACTCCTCCATCCCATGACTCCAACTAACCTTCTTCTTCTTCCCCAACTTCCTAACCTTAACCTTTTTTCCATTCCAGTCCCTCTCTTCCTTCTTCCCCTCCACCTCACCCCTAGTTTTCCATTTCCAGCGAAGCCAAACAATAGTGTTGTATATCCAGGATATGAGATCGATGAGAAGGTTAATGAAGAATTGGATGAGGTAGATTATTAGGAAGATGGTGAATAAGACAGTCAAGATGGCGAGGACGACAAGCCCGAAGTAGGGGATTAGGATGCAGAGGACGAGGAGGTTGAACCCGAGGATACAGAGGAGGATGGTGGATATCATTTTTGCTGCGTTGTGTCCTAAAGAGGGGACGACCTCGTACTTGATTTTGAGGACTCTGCAGGTCTGAACTTGAGAGGAGAGGAAGGGAATTTCTTGGAGGGAATTGAAGAGAGGGACAAAGGATGAGCTGGGGAGAGACGTTCTTGTTGGTGATGCCGCATTTGGGCGGGCAGGCAGGACAATGGATGTGAGACATTTGAGATCTGACAAAGAAGATGGATGACCTTTACGCCGGAGCGAGCTCGAAACACGAAAAGTTATTGTTATGTCTCAGTGCTTGAATGGACTATGCAAGTTCATCGAGGTGTTTCTCGGAGTTTTGTTGTGCAGTCTTCAGGTATGATCGGGTCATCTAGGTTCATTCCTTGAAACACGAGCTAAAGAATACAAGGTACCATGCCACGCACACATGGAATCAGCAAAGCCCGGGGTATGTAAGCAATCCAGTCCAGTCCAGTCCAATTGACTCCAAAGCCTGGTCACCACAGACCGAAAACAAGCAAAGTAAACGTCAAACGCCACGCTTAGCCAAGCTACCTATTGATCCGGACTCCAATCCTTGAATCTCGAAGACTCTCATGCTAAGCCCTGTACGCCAAATACAAAGATGCATGCAAATAGCCCCCCGAACGATGCTCAAATGAAAGCCAGATCCACGCACGCTATTTTGAAGACAGAAACGTTCGCTAGATAGAAAACAGAATGTTAAAAGAAAAGGAACATCAGAGTTCTCTGAACTCAGTCATCAAGATCGATCACCTCTACTACTTGCTTCGGCGGGGCTTGCTTCGATGATGTCGAGGCGCCCCGTCTTAAAGGTCCATCTCCATCGCTCGAGTAATCGCTATCATCTCCTGGGCCGGTCGTAGCCTTTCTCTTCTCGACCTTGGGACGCCATCTGCCATCAGCCCCAATCAAGATGGCTTTTACATCGAGCTTTCCTTGCTCCTGCAACGAATTTCTCACCGAGCCAAGGAAGTCGTCAATCTGTAGGCTGTATGGACGAGCGTCCTTGCCACATAATGGACACTTCCAGACATCGATCATACATGGCTGTTCTGGACGCTTAGGCTTGCTGTTGCGCGTCAAGAGGAAAGTCTCGAGGTCGAAGCATTCGCGGTGCAAGCAGCTACCGCCTCGCACGGGCGTTTCAAATATTTTGGCCGTGAATGGATCAGCAACGTCAATAGAAAGATCGCTAACGACCATGGCGATGTCGTCGTCGTCGTCGCCTGATGGACCAGCGAGACTCTTCTTAATTTTGTTGAGAGTTTGATTCAAAGGTATGTGGTTTTGGTAGACCATTTCGAGAATCTGGCTGTGGTGCATGATCTCAATAACCTCAACTGCTATGAAATAGCTGAACTCCTTCATCTTGCTGCGACCCTTAAGAATAGACATCGCGATCTGATTGGTTGAGTTGGGTGTCGATAATCTAACGAAAGGTGTAATATCGATCGGGAGATCTTTTCCATGATGATTCTTCCGCCTGATTTCCAATTGATTCTTGTTGATGGCCAGGGACGTACTCTCTGGCCAGACCGTGTCGCATACAACCCACTCGGCAATAGGGCATTTTGTGTCTGTTCGCTTCGCCTGCACGCAGCGTAAGCGATACTGGAGTGTGCCCTTCGTGAATTGTCGGGTCGGAATTTGCCCATTGCCGTTATTGTTGTCCTTAGGGATCATAGCAAGGTCAGCGGCCGCAATCGTGAAATCGAACTTTGAAAGAGGGCTCGTCGAGGAAATTCTGGTTGGAGACAGCACAAAACCACGAACTGCTTGGTAGTATCTAAAAGCTGGGTTGTCTTGAGAATTACTCGAATGGGCAATCCCAGCAGCCACCAAGCGCGGACTACGAATGTGTGCCTGATGTAATGCAGTAACATCTGGGTTTGTTGGCGCCGAAGGATGATTATACTGCAGCGGAGGGATGAGGGATCTTTGTAGAGGATGTTTTTGGTTGTATGCATGTATTTCGAGTGCTTCTTGGTTACTCAGCAAACCTGGCTGCCTTTGGCCCAGATACGATGGCGGTACAGAAATGGAGCCGGCCATGGGATATGCACCCTGAGGTCCATGACCGTTGCCGGCAACGTTGTTGTTCCTGGAGGGAGTTCGTTGTTGGATATCCATTGGATTGATCTCTCTTCTTGATTGGGCAGCACGGTTCATAGTAAGAACTTGTCGGCTGAGTTCTTGCTGTTGTCGTTGCTGCTGAGCAATTTGTTGTTGTACAGCAGCTTGATGTTGTTGCTGTTGCTGAAGAATGTTGTTTTGTTGCTGGTGCTGAAGAAGATTATTCTGCTGTTGCTGCTGCGGCTGCATATTATTCTGTTGCCATTGATGAGTAGCATTCTGCTGGAAGTGAGTCGCTGCCCCAGCACCCTGCTGCTGCAGGTACTGTGATGCAACCTGGGCTCGTTGCTGCGTCGCCAAATCATTCTGCTGTGGAAGAAGGTAGTATGTTCCGTTCGGCTGCAGCGCCATTTGCCCATTTTGCTGTGGCTGCATATGAGCATTACTTCTCACAACAGGAGGAGATGGAAAGTTCTGTTGAACAGGCGATTGCATAGACAAACCCTGAAGAAGTGTCGGGGATGGGGTGTTCGTATAGACTCGCTGGGCCCCATCACTAGGCGGCCGAGACCCGTTAATTGCTGGATTCGGAGAGCTATTTACGGCCCTTTGAATTTGAGGTGGATGTTGAACAGAAAACTGCCGAGTTCCTCCAACATCAGGACTTGGCATGTTTTGATTCCACGCGCCTTGGTTGATAGGCTGCTGAGGTCGAGATACTTGGGGCGTATTCACAGCTCCAGGTTGGTAGTAACCGTTGCTTGGCATTGTTGGCGTGGGTACTCGGGGTGCAGGACTGCCCATGGCTGAGGAATGCCGTTGTTGGATTAATTGATTGTGCAAATTGATATACTCAGTTGCAAGCGCTCGGTTCCGCTCCTGAACCTCTCGTGCCGAGGGTGGGCGAGCAGTGTTGTATCGAGCAGCCAGTGCCTGATGTCCTCGTTTATCCTTTTGGAACAGATCTTCCATCCGTGTACCAATCTCCTCATCACGAATCCCCAGATTTCGGCGGCTGGCAGTAAACACCACACTTTGCAGAATGGGCGACAGTAGCCCCATGCGATTGACAAGTTCGTCCACAAGTGGGGGGTAGCCTCGGCTGGAGCATTCGAGGGACAATGCGCCCCAATCCGATGCTAGTCTGCTTAGAAAGTTTCCAACCTCTGCCACAATCCTTCGATATGGCTCTGATGATTGCAACAGATTACCTAAAGGGCTGGGAAATTGTGCAAACCATCTCTTGTGATTGACCGCCAAGGAGTCATTGTCTCGTATTAACTGACCGAGAATCCTAACCGCCAGCCCCAACACCTGTGCGTTAGGATAGCCCTGAATGGACAGAACTTGATTCCGATCCGTATCCCAACAACAGAAGATCTGGTGTAAAGCAACGTAGAAGGCGTCCTCAGTATTGCAAGCCTCTGTAAGTAATTGAAAGCGTGGACGCTCGAGACCGGTGTTGAGATTGTTGAGCCCTCCTGCTTTTTGAATATGTTGATCTATTAGAGAGACTCTCCCTTTCAATGACGGCATTGACGCAGGCTGGATCCGTTGCCTCTTACGTGGATTTGAAACAGCTGCACCCGGCATAGGATAAGATGCTGCAGCAGATGGCGATGGGGCAGGTGGGAATAACACGGTCGGATTAAATCTTGGGGAAGAATTGCTGGTCTGCACGGGACTTGGAAGCTGGTCCTGCTGTGCTTGCCTCGAGTGATGTGGGTGGGTTAGGTTCTGAGGCCTCGGCGATTGCTGGTCTTGGTTCATAGACTGTACGGGGCCAGGCCGTGCAGGCAATGCTTGTGTCTGTGAAAAGCCTCGATTCAACACGGGGGAAATTTGCTGG